AAAGTCTTATCTATGTTCTAGTCATATCCATGTCTGATTGAAACTGGAAGAGAAGTGGAGAGATTAGAATTTGAGGTCATTCACATAGTTACTGCAGTTAGTGATACTAATGTGATATTAGTCATCTGACTGAAAGACAGAATAAAAAAGTTCTATTATTATTATTATTATTATTATTTACTCAAGAAATTAGTGTATGTGTGTTTAATTATTATTATTACAAAGAAAGACGTTATCGTACATCACATTATTCGAAGTATAATTGTTTACTTTATTTGTATCCATACAGTTGGAAAATAGTAACCCTCTAAAATTCATAAATCTATGTATGTGTGTGTCCGTACAAACATGTGACTATCAGTAACATATAGTTGTAAGGCTCACTAACCAACATAACAACAGCAGTTCCAATTAAGTCTTTATGTAATGGTCAGAAGAGTAAGATATTATAGAACGCTATTTTGAACGAGCCTTCATTTAACTATTACTTTAATTTGCTTGTTTGTAACTCCCGTTTCATTTAGAGAACTGTAATTGATCAGTCACTTATTGCCATATATGCTGCTGATTTTCCATGTATACACGAAAAGAGTAATCTGGAAATAAGCTATAATATTTATAATTGGATTTAGTAAACCGAATTTCTGATATTAATAATTTCCTATCAAACATCATAATGTAAAATCGTTTGAACAGAAAATTATTGTAGTCCATGTATTGGTTTCGAGAATTTGAACTGAAGAAAAAGTTATGTATGCTTAATCTAACAATGAATTCTTTCTATATTTTCCATATTGACTTTAACCACATAAAGACTTTTTAAGGGTTAACTAATAGCGGTAATACGCATAAATACACGGATTCATTTAGTCCGTTAGGAAAGCAGTAAAATAAATTGTGAAAGGTTTTTCTTTAATGAACTGTTTGTAAATCAACTCCCAAGTATATTAACATTTGAAATTAATTTGGATCGTTAATTGATGTAAGCTAGATAAAGGTTGAAAATCATTGAGCAGTAAACTTTTGTTTAGTGTAAGTGTGATCCTATTCGGAAATGAACAATTAAAATATCATAAGAGATAAAAACTTGAATCGTTTTTTCCTACTGTGATCATCAGACTGCCAAATCAAAGATCATGAATCAAATGTTTCTTGTTTTTTTTCATCAATCAACCTAAAGCGACATTTAGTAAACTTGAAATAAACGTCTTTAAAAAAATACCATACATATGTTTGATGGAAAAAGCAAGTCGAACAAGTTTGTTATACTTTCTAAGCCTGTTGATGTTTTCATTATATCACCTGAAATTTTAAACATAGTAATTGGTTAGTGAATTTTTACCATAACAAGATTTTTTGAGGTCAGCAGAATTTATATTTTAAGAGTTCTTACATTCATCTCGGCTTTTATCTTATCACTTGATATAGAGTTGATATTGACGAAATTTCAGCTTGACAATGCAGTATATTTAGGCCAAGAGTATGAGGAATTCCACCCGACTTTCAATCATTTTCAGCGCTTCCAAGAGTCACCCAAATAAAATCTTAAGATGATTTAGTATATCATAGGCGACTCACTTGATTTTTTGTACACTTGTTATTAATAATTTTTTTCCTACACTTAAAAATAGTTTAAGACTAACAAATCTCTGGAAGGCGTATGGTCTTTTGACCTTGGAGATGGATTCGAAACTCTGTCATTCTTCGCGTTCATAGGAAACTGATCTGGAAAACAAAACTGAATTTATTATAACTGATGTTTCCTTCCACAACTAAAGGAATTTATGAAGTAACACCACATTCAACTTCAGTTATAAATATCGGTTGACATGATCAGATTTAATTGTTTAAGGATTACAATACATACAGGAGACACTATTTGAAGATTACTTACTTACTTACTTACTTACTTACTTACTTACTTACTTACTTACTTACTTACTTACTTACGCCTGTTACTCCCAATGGAGCATAGGCCGCCGACCAGCTTTCTCCAACCCACTCTGTCCTGAGCCTTATTTTCTAGTTCTATCCAGTTCTTGTTCATTCTTCTCATGTCTGTCTTTATTTCTCGGCGTAATGTGTTCTTTGGTCTTCCTCTTCTCCTTTGACCTTCAGGATTCCATGTGAGGGCTTGTCTTGTGACGCAATTAGCTGATTTCCTCAAAGTGTGCCCTATCCACTTCCAGCGCTTCTTCCTGATTTCTTCCTCCGCTAAAATCTGGTTTGTTCTCTCCCACAGTAACTTATTGCTGATAGTGTCTGGCCATCGGATCCGAAGCATTTTGCGTAGACAGCTGTTGATGAACACTTGTATCTTCTGGATAATGGCTTTCGTATTTCTCCACGTCTCCGCTCCATACAGTAGAACTGTCTTGACATTTGTATTGAAAATTCTAACCTTGGTGTTGGTTGACAATTGTTTTGAGCTCCAGATGTTTTTTTTGAAGATGGAGCATGATAAACTACTATTATTAACGCATAAACTATACGCTATCACTGTAAAACTTGAACATATTTGTTATGCTATGACTTTGAGGGTAAAATTTTTGAAAATAAATTTACTCAGTTGGTCACGCTATTGTATAACGTCGAAACAGGTTTACTTATGTACAATGATCAACGTAAAAATGATTGATTTAAGCAAAATATGTAATTTTTTTAAAGATCGGTATTGATTGTAAGTGAAACAAAATCTTGCTGAAATTTTAAAACGTTTAGGAAAAATTCTTTAACTAGCCAGTACATATTTACTGAGTTCTGGTGAAATATTCGGTGGGAATAAAGCCTCTGTAGTAAAGAAGAGACAAAAAATATTTGACTGCCATGGTTAGTATATTATAAAATAATCACATTATATTTTTCGGCTTTTTTAACTCGATCTATCCCAACCTCATCTACTATCTTTTAATTGAGGTAATGCCTGTTTGATGATAATCAGTTATGTTTAATTGACCTATGATATAGACACTTCATCTTTTTGTAAGTATTTGTCTATTAACTCTCCAATTATCCTTATATTGAAGAAAATCTAACAAGCTATGTCATATTAATATTTATCTGGTAATTCGATAAGTTCATTGAAAAAAGTACATAAGATGTACTATACACTGGACTCGGCAAAGTGTTGAAATGAAGAAACAAGGTGAACGTCCTCCATTTTAGAACTTTTCGTCAAATCAATATCTCTAAAAATACTTTAGAAAATTCAATTGGCTTTAAAACGAGTATAGATATAATTTATGTGAATAGTTTATTCATTAATAACTCGTAGACTGATGTTATTGTTACTTATGGAGAATAAATCAAAATAACTCGGATTTCACGGCATTTCGGTCAGATTATCATTCTTGATAACTGCATTATTACTTAAAGTTACTTTATCCGTTGTCTCTCGGATTATCTTCTTATCAAAAGATACCCAATACCGTACTTAATTTCATACTTTATATATTTACTTATTCTTTGAACATCCTGTCCTTTCAGTTATCCATTTTGAACAGTACAGTAGTGGTAAAAAAAATGGATAAAACTTAGAATTAATCATAAATTTATTATAGTATTTTCTTTTTTGATAAATTGTCTAATCCATTCAGTTTTAATATCTTTAAAAATTGCTGTAAAAGATATCAGTAGTTGGATTCACTTTTAATGAAACATTCCTGATTATATTGTAAGAGAAAACTGCAGTGACTGTAATGATTAATTAAATTACTGAATTTAATGTATACCGTTAAATTACTATTAATGGTTTTAAAAATTAATTTCGCACAACTTTGGTAACATACAACTTTTAAAAAACCTGGTATTGCAGTGTGGGTTACTGATATCCACATAAGTAGTATATGGTGATGGTCGGGCATTGAATGTATTACAGTAGAAGATCGATGAGGAGAAAACAAGAACAGCGCGCAGTCGGTACGGAAATGCGTGAACAATTATAATCGGAGACTAAGAACGGATATTTGCAGAAGAAACAGTCAATATTGAGACAATTGATTTTTATTTTGCAAAATAACTATTCACTATATTTTCATAGTTGAAAGCGTGAGTCAATTGAAGCTAGACCGCCATGGAAAACCTGGAAGCACTGGACGGCCGTTTCGTCTTATTATGGGACTCCTCCTCACGCTTTCAACTATGAAAATACTAAATCTCCACAAAACCCCTTCTGATAATAATAATAACCATATGCTCACTAGTGACTGACTTCGAGAGGTAAATCCAGGAGTTCTAGAGAGAAGCAGTGACCAGTGGAGTTCAAACCACGTCTGTTATGAGATATCAACTCACTGAAGACAATTAGTGAACGGTTGCTCAACATCGTGGATTAGTTGAAGTTATATATTACCACTGTTGGATGCCGGCCAGCTGAGTGGTCTATCGGTTAAGTGCTGTGACGCAAGACTGGTAGGTTCTGGGTTTGAACCTCGCGAGTGCGGGATCGTGGAGGAGTCCCATAATAAGACGAAACGGCCGTCCAGTGCTTTCAGGTTTTCCATGGTGGTCTAGCTTCAATTGACTTACGCTTTCAACTAGGAAAATACTAAATCTCCACAAAACCCCTTCTGATAATAATATTCACTATATGGTTCTCATATTTTAATGAGTTATTCTATAATTTTATGCTAAAATACATTCGATTGCCCCCACTCGTGTTCTTGTCCACTACAGTATGACTAGTTAGTGAAAGTATCAGTTCATTTTGACTTACTTGTTATTTTGCTGTTGTCTATTGATATCAAAATGATTTCTGAATTTCATTCTATTCAGTAATAATTACTGACATAATAAAAAAGGCAATTTGTATCACATAAGGAGAGAAAAATATTACATCGCATATGAAAAAGAAGCGACCAATCAAAATGAAGTAATTCATAAATAAGAGAAACAGTAAATAAATGCTCAATGGTTTTCTCTCTCCCCCAAGTTTCATAAATAATGGGAGAAATAAAATATTAATAAACAGATATGTGAAATCTTCCGGATACATTATGCCGTATAAATTAAAAAAAATTAAAACAGAGCATTACTTTCATTTAACAAAACAAAACGACAATCAATATAAATTTGAACAAAATTCAGATTTAATGAATAACGGATTCACAAAAAACAGTGATTACTGATTTTCGAAATTCACCAAGTGCACACATCGAAATTCGTCTATATTTTACACAGTTGAACATATTCATCAGCAGACTTTATACAGTCAGCCAAAAAAAAACATACAGACAACAATGAAGAACACAGTACAGAAGTCAGCACATCAGCTAACTTCCTCTAAAACATCAATATCATCATTATGCGCTTCATCACCTAATCCACATAAACGTGTAGCTGCCAATTTGAGAGAACGTAAACGTATGCGTCTGATTAATCATGCATTCGATGGATTACAATCTCATTTACCCAAGGAATTATTACGTCCAAATACATTATTGAGTAGTATAAATTCAAAAATTTGCACTTCATTCATACATGCACACCGAAAGTTTAATGTAGAGTTAAGCAACAAACAAGTCGATAGCCAATTGATAATGCAGTCCGTAAATCCAACCAACTCATATTTTCACAAGGAAACCATCTCAAAAGTTGATGTGTTGAGAGCCGCAATCAACTACATCCACATACTTGAGGAGATTTTGGACGAACTAAAAGCTGAACATTGTCCTGAAACATGGGATAGTGCTGCTGATCACATGAACTCATGGAAACTGGACTGTAAGCAGTCACAACCTAATACATATCATGTTGGTTGCCTATGTTCAATCAGACATTCGAATGAACAGCGTGTGAACAAGTATCACAAGCAGTTAATGAGTGGTACAGTAATCAAAACAGGTGAGATAGAGTATTTGGTGATATTTTGAAATATTAATAGATAGGTGCCGACAGAGGAGAGTTGGTAATAAAACAATCGCTCCTCATTAGATAATCAGGTCACCAACTCACAATAATTCTGTACGTTATAGACTTATTCTCTGTGTTTACATAGTTTATTATGTATACTATAGACATCTACCACGGTATTTTGCATATTTGAAGCTATATATTTAATTAACAATGGAGCGATTATTATACTAAGTGTTGATAAATAACTTCGCATTCACAAGTGCAGCTTCACGACAGCCTTTACACACAGAATTTGATACCAGTACTGCGGAGTCTAGAGTCAAGAGCTACACCATTGAACCACTAAAGCAATGTCCAACGCTTCATATATTCCGATATCAGTTAAATTAAGATTCATCATATTAGTCACCTGGTTACGTCAACATATGACTTCGATCATTTCAAACTCACTCACTTCGAACATCATGTTTCTCCTTCTCTAAATGCAAGTTGTTGCTTCACGACTGCTCTGCACCAACATTCAAACTAGGAATGGGGAGTGAAGTAGTTGAGTGCTTCGATAACTTCACTTATCTTGGAAGTCTGATCAGCCCTAATGGGTTGGCGTCTGACGAAATCTCAGTACGAATTATAAAAGCTCTTTTGGCTTCCATCAACCCACGTCAGACATGGAGGAGATGAGATATCCATTGAGGAATGATGGTAAATCAGTTAACGAGATGGTAAATCTTCACCGAGTGAGATGGTTGGGCCACATGTTACGTATTCCTGAACACTGATTACCACGACGCACAATGCTGACCAGTGTTGGACACAGTTGGGAGAAAGTTAGGGGCGACCAAATCAAAACGTGACATCAGTCATCGAGGTCACTCACTTCTGATGTGAGCCATGATGGTGGATGCACACTACTTGGTTGTGATCCGTGCGACTATCGCAACCAATATTTAGAGACACTAGATGACATGGCTCAGAATCGAACATAGTGGTGTAGCTGTATACACTCTTCGTCTTTTCTTACACCATGAGGTTAAAATTGCTTGATACCTATATTTTTACGAACTAATTCTTTCTTCCTGTATCCTACCCTTATATGCAATCTTTTTCTTATATATTGCGACCGTTGGAGTAACTACTTCTATGAATTCGGTCTTCATCTTGTAGTGCTAATGAGGTGTGTCCACTTGGACCGATGCATATATGTGTCTGGTCCAGCGTTTCAGCTGACTAACTAAATTCACTTACACTTCAGTAAATGGTAATAATGAAGATGCTTGAATAACACTTACAATTGACATTTATTTATTTATCACATTTGTCATTTTTTCGTATGCCTCTGACAGGCTTCCAATAATTATCTCTTTCACAGTCACATTAAAATCGTCCATTTATAAATGTATTTTAAAACGGATACTCTGAATTCAGGTTATTATATGTCAGTGGCTGAAGAACAATATATGTCAACAAGGTTCACTGAAGTCTCTTTGTTCAACTACGAGACAATTCATAAGCTTAATTTCAAAATAATCCATTAGAATTTATTGTTCTCAATATGAAAATATGTATAACACAGTTCTACACATTTAACTTTGTTTGTTCCAAGTACTTTAGTTCACAAGATGGGAAATAAGAGACAGTCAGAAATTGAGTCTCCTAGACAAACATGTGTTTCAGAACTCAAATCGATTGTGTAAATATTCAATAATAATTTGTGATTTTAGGGCAATTCATGTATTTGGATATTTAGCAGAACGACAAAAACAAAAACACTTTGTAAACTGGTATCACATTGTCTCATCATATGTATTTCAGTGGAGTCTTTTGTCTGATACACCGATGAAAACTTCTTAACAAGTTCGAATGAATTCTTCAGAAACCTAAAGTCAACACCGACATGTGCAGCAGTATCAAAAGATTACTATTCTTTTTCAAAATGAAATGATGTCAGTCATGTATTTATTGTTTTACAAACATGATTCACAATCAAACACATGTGTAAATAAAGCAAATTATCAAATTCCGATTGACCATCACAACGTCGTTAGGGTTTGATAAAATAAAGCTGAAGTAAGACAAAATGATTACACTTCGTACACAATAACAATAATACTGATAATAATAGGTGAGTAGTGTGGGGGAGAACTTTAACATTGTGAAAAGAACAAATCCCATAACAATGGTGTTAACATGAATTCAAATGACTGGTCATAGCAACTTCAATATATGACGATATGATATCGTTTGAAGAGAACTAGAGCGTGTGAATAGACAGAATATTTGTATTGTTTCAGCATTCTAATTCGTAAACTATTCTTTGTGAACACTTTTAGATGTACATGGCACTTAGTTTGTATCATTAGATAAGAATGATTACCAATATATTGATACACGTGGGTTATAACAACTCTTGAACGATTTTAGCCAATCATCATTGCTATCATTTTCATGCTAGGCATGAGTAGTCAGAGAAATGAATATCTTTGAGTTTCAACACAGCTCAATCACTAGAAAAGATGAATTCCTAGTGAATACTTTGTTGTATTTTGTGGTTCGATTTAGTCACTAATGCATGCTAATGTTTGAGCAATCCGCTATGAAGACGAAGGAGACTAAAATTGTATCGGAAGCTTTATTATCAAAACCAAATAATAATGTTTAAAGCTTATGCATATAAGTAGACTCCTATTTTGGCCGGAACATATGGTCCGCTTCCTAGGTTTTTAAATCATTCACTTATCAATAGAAGTTCATCTACACTCCCATTTGTCACTATGCTACCATGAGATCACATGTGATCTATGAGGCCCGTCTGGGTTTTGAAACAACATCATAAAGTGGCTGAATGCTGATAAATCTTTTATTAGTTAAACCAACTGATATTTCAAATATTTTAATTGCGAACGATCTAACTGTAAATTGCTTGCATTGAATTTGTCAGAGTTCTTATCATTCACTTAACCAGCTATGTATTGAAGGGAATATGATGGTAGTTGGTGTGAGACTGTCTTTGATTTGCTACATGTATATCTGTTGCACACAACCTAGTAATTAGACGTCAGTCTGTCAACTATACTAATCGAAACGAAACATGAGGTTGGTTTAAATGAACATTTTAGGGACAAATGCGACAACATAAGTCCAGTGTTCCTACCGACTACCTCCAACCAACTAAAATCTCAAGATAATACACGTAGTGTTAATTCACTTAGACCAGTGGCCACATTTCAACTCGATCGACAGAATTCTTTCAGCATTTAAGGGCTAGATAGATATAACGTCAGTCGACACTCAGTGACCAATCAACCGAGTTGTTTTCATTTATCTGTCACTAAGTAATAACCATTATCATTTTGTCTGATGTTTGGTAGAAGTTGAATTCTGTGGATTGAATTTCCACATGGCCATCAGGTTATACAACTTGACATCACAGTGAGGAAACATAAAACATAGATTCAAAGCTCCATATTAACTGTCTTCAACCACTTAGCGTCAAACTTTGTGCACTATGATGTAGAATCATACTCCAATGAACATGATACAATTCCGTCAACACTGGTAATCAAACGTAACATTAGTCACTACGTTGTGGCCAATTATTACAACTATATTATTATTATTATTATTATTATTATTATTATATTTAACAGGTTCATTTTGATTTCGTAGCAGCTCTCTAGTTATTAATTATTTTCCCTTTAACATAGGTGCAAATTCTTTGCCCGTATTTGTTAGCTGGCAATGGGAACTGCAAAACAGAACAGAGAATCTAACACACAATCAACAACCTTTAGATTTTACTTCGTACGAAGCCTATTCAAATGATGTCAAAACGTCTGAACCCAGTGCAGCCATAATAGACCAGTCAAACGACATTAGTCACTCAAAATATAAAAGAATACAAAATCCTCAGCATATAATTCGATGTAAACAAACTTGGTGGCCAAAAGTACAAAACGTACACACCTCTGTAAATAACTCAAGGAATATAATTCAGTTTACTGATTCATATGAAAATAAATAAATATTTCTCGTAAATACTAATGATATCTCCTAATTCGATTATCTTATTTTATTCATGTTTAAGATGAAATTAGTGTTTTTTCTATAAACAGACATGTTTGATCATTCCTATTGATAAATGCTTAGAATTCATTAGTGGTTTACTAGAGAATGACAATACTCTGTCTGACAGATGTTTGATCAAGGTTTTGCTGATAAAGTGTATGTTTGACCAGACTCATCAGTGAATGTAAAACTGTTATGTGACGCATCAAATACTCTGTTTACACATCTCCAGATGAACATGAATATACATAGTTTAGTCATTATTTAGTAATACTGTAGCCTGGAGTTACTTTTCCTGAACAGCTATTGAGCATTATATATCTTGCTGTGAGTTGACGATCTAGATATGTAAAACAATTACAGAATTTGAGGAAGGTAGGAATTAATAAATCGTTAAGTTCTTTGAAATACCAAAAGTTCTGTTATATGATAATGGAAAAATATTACAGAACACAAAATAAGGCAAACACAATACAGTGTAGAGCTATACAAATCAGTCAGATATAGATGAAATTAAAGAAAAATTATGTCGCTGTTGTCAGAAAGGTTATTATTACAACATAGAGATTTGTAACGTTAATTTTACAAATGAAGAATGTGAGTAACAACAAAAATTAAGGTTGTTTATTAAATACAGTAATTCTAGGAAAATTAACATTAATCAACTTGTCACGAATCATCATGGTACAAAACTATCAGTTGATTATGTCAACAGAGGTCATATCAATTTGTGAATTATTGTACAAGGGGTTAGATTATTGAATAATTATCCTCCCACTTCATGGTAGGATCCTGATGGAATTATATACACATTTTACTTAATTTAGATCAATTTATTCAAGCTGACAAATATATCATTTGATTAACAAAACAAGTGTCTATCTACTAGCTTATACAGAGATTAACAGAAAATGAGGTAAATTGTGACAGATACTGATCATTACCCTTTTCTTTGTCAAAATTTAACCAAAACCAACGAAACATGGTGGGATTATTTTTTCAGAAAAATTTTGCAACCACTACTTATTAGGACATAAGAACCAATAAAGTGAATTGATATGGAAAGGTTAACACACACGAAAAATAAAGACACTATTTAATCACCTTGGTAACAAAACCATTTTCTTGAATCATGTTATGATTTAGTTTGGGAAATATAATATTTAGGGATATATGTATACCAGTCATGGTATTTCATATGTGCATTGACGCGGTGTGTGGGAACTGTAGTATTAGAATGACTTAATTTCTGATATTCTGACTTTTGTGAGTAAGTCGATTAAAGCTACTACGAAATATTTTAGGGACTTTATTCCAACATCATTTTTAATGAAAAAAACTTGAACAACATTCAGTCATAGTCTACTATTCTGGTTCAAAGGCTTGAATTCTGAGTTAACTAATAGAAGTATTGAAAGAGATGATGATTGGGAAAGTGGATTAATGAATTTAATATTTTCCTATACTTATACATTTGGTTAATTGTTGAGCACCAAGAGGAGTAGTATGTTAATTGACACATTGCTGAAAAGAATGTTACAATGTACAAAAAGATGTTTGCTTTTAAGTTCTCAAAAAAATATCCAAATACGCCTATATTTAAAATAGTAACGTTAAGGTAAAATTTCATTGAAAGCCATTCAAAAGCTTTTAACTTCATAAGAATTATGTCAATGAAATTAACAGATAGTGGCTGTGTGGTAATATCGTACATGCAAAATGTACAGGAGTTACTGATAAGTCAAATTATTTTTTGAATAGCTAAAATGCCTAGTTTGTTAAGCGAAGCAATACTAAGGTATATTTCTTATATTTGCAATCACTTATACATCATATGTAAGATTTAAATGATGTCATTTGCGAATGATTTCAAAGATACCTATAGTCATTATGATTGGTTGTGTGCTCTATCAACCTATATATCTCCGCTGTCACTTTGTTCAACGTTCACAGGAAATTAAATACGTTTATCCAAATCTCATACATATCAACTTCAATATACGCCTGTTCAAATTGGAACCTAATATCTGAATAAACATAAAGAACTGAGGTAATATATCATAAATACAGAAAGCAGATAGAATTTGTTTATTTCTACGAGAAAATATTGTTCGTGTAAAGCTGAGATATCATATTGGTTTACGTATTAAAACGGATTTCAAAAGTATGTAAATTTACATTTTTGTCTACTTACATTATGAACAGTAGACAATTTTATATTGCTAAAATATCTTCCAAAATTTAGAAAAGATTCAAGTTCAAGATATACTGTTATCATAGCAAAATAAATATTTCCAGTAAATTATTAAAAAATTAAGCTTACATTGAAGCTGCAAACTTAGCACGTAAGATATCGATAGTGTACATAATAAACTATGTAAACACAGAGAATAAGTCTATAACGTACAGAATTATTGTGAGTTGGTGACCTGATTATCTAATGAGGAGCGATTGTTTTATTACCAACTCTCCTCTGTCGGCACCTATCTATTAATATTTCAAAATATCACCAAATACTCTATCTCACCTGTTTTGATTACTGTACCACTCATTAACTGCTTGTGATACTTGTTCACACGCTGTTCATTCGAATGTCTGATTGAACATAGGCAACCAACATGATATGTATTAGGTTGTGACTGCTTACAGTCCAGTTTCCATGAGTTCATGTGATCAGCAGCACTATCCCATGTTTCAGGACAATGTTCAGCTTTTAGTTCGTCCAAAATCTCCTCAAGTATGTGGATGTAGTTGATTGCGGCTCTCAACACATCAACTTTTGAGATGGTTTCCTTGTGAAAATATGAGTTGGTTGGATTTACGGACTGCATTATCAATTGGCTATCGACTTGTTTGTTGCTTAACTCTACATTAAACTTTCGGTGTGCATGTATGAATGAAGTGCAAATTTTTGAATTTATACTACTCAATAATGTATTTGGACGTAATAATTCCTTGGGTAAATGAGATTGTAATCCATCGAATGCATGATTAATCAGACGCATACGTTTACGTTCTCTCAAATTGGCAGCTACACGTTTATGTGGATTAGGTGATGAAGCGCATAATGATGATATTGATGTTTTAGAGGAAGTTAGTTTTCGTGTATTTCCATCAAATTACAACAAAAAGTTTATATAATCTTTTTTATCGGAAGCATTTTATTTATTCATTAATTTAAAGAGCTCACCTATTTTTTCAACTGGACTAAGTTTGTGAATCGATGGTATAGGGATGTTTTTATAATAACTTTCGGAACACCGATGTTTATTTTAAACTTTTATTGGATTTCGGTCATATATTTTTATAATCCCTAGGTCGTAGTTATAAAATATATGGGATCGTAAATGTCCTTTCTCGTCATCACCTTTTTTTAGCAAATCCTATTCATTATATGAAGTTTGCTGATTGAAAATGTTTTATTTAATACGAAATGTCCCATAAAATATCAGAAAATCCGTTTATTTTCTATTTACTTAAAAGGCCGGAAGCCAAGTAAATTTTATCCAACTAATATAGTTCTCAAGGAAAGTTTTTCAGATATGAATTTTTCGTTGAGTTGGTAACTGAGTTCTGGTTTGGATAACTCAGGAGATGGTATTAGGAAAGTTGACTAAAGTGTAAACTTCTAAACTTAGTAAGTATGAAAAGTATGATATAAGCTATATAGGATCAGGTTATTTCAGATTTTTTCGAAAATAATCGACTTCAAAAATGCCTTTCCCAATGTTGAATGCTGTGCATAACTAGCCGTTGATTAATTTATGGAAGTTTGCAATAATTTCACTTTTCTCAAGGTTGTTTTATGAGGGACAATTACGAAATCTATGAAGATATTCGAAAATGCCAACCACATTTATCTACTCTTTTTAGAGAGGTCATAGAATTTCCAACCAGACACTGTAATTATTAATGAGTTTACTTCATTTCAATGAGTTTAAAGAAGTTATAATTTTGGAAATCTTAAGAACTCATCCAAGTATTATATAAGAAGAAAGACAGTTTTACAAAAAGACTAAACGGTTGTTTGTAAAACACAGACAAATAAAGTAAACAATTATACTTCGAATAATGTGATGTACGATAACGTCTTTCTTTGTAATAATAATAATTAAACACACATACACTAATTTCTTGAGTAAATAATAATAATAATAATAATAATAGAACTTTTTTATTCTGTCTTTCAGTCAGATGACTAATATCACATTAGTATCACTAACTGCAGTAACTATGTGAATGACCTCAAATTCTAATCTCTCCACTTCTCTTCCAGTTTCAATCAGACATGGATATGACTAGAACATAGATAAGACTTTAAGTATATACACTTATTATCATTATTCAGATTAATTTCTTCTTTAAACGAGTAAATAGATAGAATTTTAGATTAATGACTTGTAAGCTGTTAGTTGTTACACACGAATTGGATTTCTGTCTATTTCGATAATTTGTTAGTAAATGATGTAGGACTAAGATGAGAGTCCATATGAATGATGAAGTTATATTCACGTGTTTTATTATCGTTTATCATGGGACGTCATTTTGTTTGATATTTACACATTAATTGTTTATTAAGGAAATGAAATAAATCAATGTTATTTACCGACTTTATTTAGAAATTGCTATTCTGAAAGGTCAGTTAATGGTTATCATATTTGTAAGAACGAAGAATTCTGGGGCATATAAGAGAGTGGGTAAAGTTAGTAATTGTAAATAATTTATGTTTGATGTATTCTGGTTTTGAAAGAAAAGGTTTCCCTGCACTCAGTTACTGATGAAACGAAAAAGATATATTTATTTCACTGATTGTTTACAAATCTCCCTTTTGTTTAAAATTCTTTGAAAATGTGCCCCTATTGTATTTAAAAATAACCGAGAGCATCCTATTGGTGTTGACGTGCATGATATAAAAAATAGTTTATTATGGCCAATCTATTTTTTAAATTCGCCAGT